AGCACTCAATTTAAAGGTTTATTATTATTGTTATAATAATCAGTTGGTATGCACATCCCTTCTATCGCTAGTTGTACATTCTTATTGACGCATTTCATAGGATCTCACGACATGTTACCGCCTGGGTCAAGGTTTAGCTAGGGCTAAAGCGTGTCGCGATCACAGGGCCGGCTAAAGCTTGCGCTGGCGCTGGCGTGGGCGGGCGGTTTGTTTACGGCGTGGGGCGGGCGGGCGGTGGCCGGCGCGCACTCCGCGAGGCAGTCCGCGCTGCGCCGCCGCGCTCGCGTACCGCACCCTATATTCAGTTCACGGCCGCTCTATTAGCAGACGGCTATTTCGGCGCATAATATTCGGACCGGTGCTGAGTAGTATTCAGTTTCTCGCGGGCAGGTGTGCGGGCCGAGGCTGACGATGCGGCGCGCACGTCCCCCCGCCTGACGCCCCGCGCTGCGGCCATGGAGTGCCGCCGACGACCTGCTGCCGCGGAACCCATGACGAAGGTGGTGCGCCGGCGGGAGAAGCCGCGAGAGCGATGGCTGCTCACGCGCAAGACCTGGAAGTACATGTCCGACGCCGGCCGCCGGCTCATACCGGACGGTGCGCAAAATCGGCCGGAAGACGTCCCACGTATAGAGGCGTACTTCCAGGAAGTGTGCCAGAGAGAGAACCGCTTCCTGCTCTGGAGGAAGAGTTCCTATCCTGGTGCCATCCCGCGACCAAGACGAAAGAAAAGACCCAGGGGCGGTTCCGTTCGCGCCCGGTCGCCTTCGGATGATGCTCCGCAGGTGCCGACAAGACCCACGGATCTTTACATTGGGCACACGTCTGGAGGAAGATTTGACATCGCCAAACTTCGGCGAGATTTTTTTGCAGCTCCACCACCTTCGTCTTCATCAGGATTCGGGTCGAGACTTGCAGGAGCTACTCCAATTGTGCCACCTCTGCCTGAGGAGGATGATGAGAGCGCGTTAGTTGATTTATTGCGAAAGTACCTGAAAGTAGAAGATGATAGAGGCCCCTCGCGACTCGGAGATAACGAGGAACTAGTACGCTCATTGAGGAAGTTTCTCAAGAAGCAGGCGGATCGCACTTTAACGGATTCCGACGCTGCTGATTCTACTCAGAGAACTCTACTGGAGAATCTGGGAAGATATTACTGTCGCTCCCCGAACAGGGACACCATTGTGCAGGATTTACTTACTGATAGGAATTTATTAAAAAGACTGTATCATGACTTGCGTAAGACTAAGCCATATAGAGGCGGTCGTAGCGGCGGTAGCAGTGGAGGCTCAGGTGGTGGTTATGGACCTAGTGGTTTTGCGAGCGGCTCGGGCCGCATTGCTTTGCGAGGCAGAAGTGTTCTTGGTGCGCGTGTGGACGATGGAGAGGACTCTTTACTATCTCCACCGATGTCTCCGCCACCGCTTATTGAAGTATTCAGCGAATCTATGGAAGACAAGTATGTGGACGCTGGAACACAAACCGTTCCGATCCCGGAAGAAGTCTTGTTGGAAATGGAGAGAGCTTACCGTGATAAGATGGAGGCTGCAACAGCTCCTACTAGTCCAACGAGTCCGCCGTCTGAGAGGAAACCAACACGGCGACGCTCGAGCGTTGACCACGACGACGTCTCGCAATCAGTCAGCGACACCATCAAACGCTATCTGAGGATGGCTCGGAAAAAGAGCGTGGACGCTGAGAATTCGGATCGTTTCAAGCGAATCAATTACGACAAAAATTTGCGGAATATAAAGCCTCGCGCCCCACAAGAAGTGGACGATGACGGACCTCATAAAGGCTGTCAAACGGAAGAGGGCTGGATTTTGACGTATAGGGAGTTGCGATTTGCTTCTGTCGCGTCGACTCCAACATCGCCTCCGTCCCCGACGTCCCCTACTCAGTCGCATTCGTTCCTCTCGACATTGTTAGGCAAAAGTGCACCTACGATGGCTCCTCCCCCAGGTGGCATGCAGAAGTCGCGGTCTTCGAGCAGCGTGGTACAGAGCGTGAGCAAGAGACTGTGGAGGACACGAAGTCGGAGCTCCAGCCGCGTCTCGACTTCATGGACGCCTCAGGTCAGTCGCATGGTATTCCGTTCTTGTGTTGCTATGATGTTTCTTTCGTATACATGTTATGTTAGCTCAAAAAGCAACTTACGTTAATTGTACAATATTATTGTAAACGACTTTTGCTCCATTTGTGTTGACATTTGAGCAAACACTGTAGCCCTACATCATAAATGCACTTTTTATAATGTTAAATTATGTAAGTAAGCGTTGTCAAACGCCTGACTGAAACTGCCTAATACAAACGCATGTTTCAATCATATAAATTCCTCTGGTATACAAATCCAAAGCCGTTACAATGTCACATTATTTTTGGTGAATGCTGGTAAAATAATTTCTGGAACTCGCATAAATCTGTATCGAAATTAGCGCGCGACAGAAACATGTCGGGTTTGCAGAGAGCTTGGAGTATTTTAGCAACTTGCTTTGCATTCGTTTCAAAAGACGGGTGAAAGCGATTAACGGTTAAGATATTTTGCTGATCTTGTTCACATTTCTCTTCCAAGTTTATTTAATTTCATCTCAGTTTAAATGTTTATTTATTTTTTACCATTTACTACACATACGAAAAAATCTTAAAGACTATCTTCGCAGTTGAGACACTAGTTTGTATGTTAGTAAATAAACTTGACCTTGAAACTAAAGCATCATATTCCTTAAAATGTTTGTTTATCGGTTGTCCTTAACCCTTTGCTTGGTTATTGTTATTCAATACAGTCTTGTTGTTGTTTGTTTTTGGAGTCTTAGTGCATGTTATATTTGTACACTAACGTTCAGTATTCGCGCACAGTTCACCGCCTTCAGTTCATGCAAAAGTTTATCTTTCAGTCAACATCTGACTTATATCAGCGAAAAATCATAACTAGCAAATATTTTGATGTTATTGTCAGAGAATAGATTCAGATATGGGCGGCCGCGAAGGCTTGCTATCATAAACATTCTGCCCCATGCTCGGCACGTGTGTTTTGACACGCGTTACACGTACTTCAACTTGCGTCGATATCTCTTTTTTATTTTCGGACTTTTCTATTTTAAATTTTGTTTGCTTTGTTTCATGAGAAGTAACTACTGGCCTTCGATACAATTTTTATTCTATTTCATTGTCTTACTAAATGGTGCTATTTGGCAATACAGGCAAACCAGAATTGCCTGTGACGGCATGTCATATGTTCATGTAGACTAGACATCATTTTCTCATTTAACCAACACTGATTGCGTTAACCTTTGTTTCCTTTGCTCTTGAGTTAAAATCACAGTTAATTTCTCCAATGAATTCAGAGCCAAGAAATGACTCGATACAAAGTCACGAAAATTCAGTATTGCCACTAACAATAAATTAGATAAAGTTTCTTATATGCATCACGTCAAGACCCTCTTCATTATAACCGCGATCGTAGGCGTTTTCTCCAGACAAAACACATATTTTACAATCGTTCTGACTCACAATCGTTTCTCTCTGAACGTATAGTCTTGCAATTGACAGACTGATAGCAGAACAAGCTTTAGCTGTTTATATATAAATAGCCATAATTACCATAAACATGTTGACTGTCAACATCTTAATTCTTCATCTAGTTAGCTGTGGCTATGTAAATATTATCCAATTCATTGACTCGCAATACTTTTGATGTTGTTTTATTTAATTCGATTGGATTGTCGCCAGTAGCACCTGCTGTGACCCTGAAATATAAAAAAGGTTCTATTGATGATTTTTTTATTAACTTGCAGTGTTCACTGTGTTGAGTGGTGTTGATATGAGCCAACGTCGACAAATTAGAAAGTAATGAAAAATTTATTTGATGATAATTGATTTGGCGTTTGTTTTTCTTCGCTAACATTATTATTCTTGACGTATAATATTATTTAATCGTAGAAATATGCAGCATACGCGTTCCAAACTGACGGCCACTTGTTTCTCTCATTAAATTTTTTGAATGCGTTGTAAACTATAATGAATGTCATTGCAACGTTTTATATGGATTGCCTATCTATACTGCTCTCCTTGTCATGACTAACGCTTTTGCATTTCGATACATTACCAGATACCGGCACTTACAATCTAATTCAAATAATTTTTATTTCATAGGTAAGCAAATTACACTTGAAATTTTCATATTAAACAATTGCTCATCTGTAAGGCAGAGTCAGTGTAATAACTTTTAGTATAAAGTGTTTGTTTCACTGTCTTATAGAAGCTTATACATTACCCCTCACGTTTTGTTGTCACCTAAAAAAATATCAAACACAAAATGTCAAAAACGTCAAAAATTTTACTTAACAGTACAACTGAAACTAAACAAGATACTTAAAAAAAACCGATAAGAGGGGATTGTAGATCTCATTTTGCTGAATACAGAAGTTAATAACATAATTTCGCTAAAAGTGTCGATAACGTTGTACGTAGTTATGATAAGAAGGGCAGTATACTCTTAGTTAGTTCCTATTTGTTTTCTGGCATAGTTTACATCTTTATTTTAGTTATTTGGTGTTATTTAAAACTATTCCAAGCTCGTAAGCTCATCCCGTAGTGTCGTTGTTCTTTTATTTTTTATTTTGTTCTGATTTTTTTAGTATACTAATATAAATTTGTCAATAAAATTAAATACTCAATTAGATGTAACTATGTATGTAACTTACAGCATAAAGTCTATGTGAGTTGTGCCTAATTCTAGGCGAAATTGATATTGAATTTTGAATCAACAATTTACTTAATCTAGTATCTCATTGGAATATTGTGGGGTGATTGTCCGAAAAATTTAATTCAGAAAAAAATGTTTTCTTACATTTACTGAATAATATTTTATTGTATAAGAATCTTGTATTGAACTATTGTAGCGTTATGTTGTAATTGGAGCCTGTTATTGTTATGTTCGTGGTGTGATGACGTCACGCGTTATGTGCAGGGCAGCTGTTGCTGGGTAGACGGCAGCGGGCGCTGCGTCAGACTGACGGACAGCTCGTTGCTAACGCTCAGCGAGGTAGAGCGCCGTGCTCTGCAGCAGGCCGCGCTAGCCAGGTTGCAGCAGCTCAATCTCGGCACCACTATCAAGATTCCAGAAGGTAAAGCAGTACTGCCACCCTACATATATCTGCCGCCAAGCAGTAATGTGAGCATTACTGCGTTCCGGTTTTAAAGGTGCTGGCGAAATTATAGACGTGTGGCACTTGTCAATTTATGCCTCTGGTCCCTCAGATCTTTGCGATTTAAAACTCGACTGGTACAGCAACAGTTGTGGACAGGCGTGTCGCTTAACAACAGGCGCACGACATGTTCGTCCCGTCACTTTGTTTTTTTATGATATCAAGTGACGGGACGAACAAGTCGCACGATGATAACCTACACGCCTGTCCAAAACAGTTGCAGTGCCACTCAGAGCTATAAATCAGAGGGGCACTGCTGCTACGCCCGTCACCCTGAGACATAAGATGACAAGTCCCATGTGCCTGTAATTTCACCAGCACCCTTACCCTTCGATCCGGAACACGGTAATGCCAACATTACTGTTTGGAGGCAGAAATAGATACGATAACAAAAATAAATAGGTAAGATTCGTGTTGTTGCAACGGTGTTTGTAACATGAGTAGGTTAAAATTTTCAGCATACCAAATTTTCAGGACGGGCGTGTTTTATTTGCTAGAACTTTTACACTGCATTACCAATTACGCCTATGGAATAGCTTAAATACTCAACGGTTATTTCAATGCAATCATTTGTTTAATAACTCATAGATATTAAAAACGACAAAAGCTAGCTTGTCTGGCAAATGGCCAAGTTTCCTAACCGATGGGTCAATTTTCCCGAGAACCGCCACGTTAACTGCCCACCGGTTAACTATATGGCCCATTAACTGAATAGCAATTGAGTTGTTCAAGTTAATTGTTTCGGTTTAGTTAACATGATTGATTTTGGTTTGGTTTACTTTTGCAAAAATATTTTTATTATAAGTTTTGACAGCTCCGAACTAATTGTATTAAGATTTACTTAATATGTACGCACGGAGGTCGAATCTATTTGAAACTTTTTTTTTTACAAAATATTGCGCAACACTAAATGACATTAAGAACTACAATTTGTTCCTAAGAATACAACCTCAAATGGCTTTAGTTGTTTCTGTATAACAGTGAAAGTGTAGAATCAATAAGTTTGGAAAAAATGTATACTAAAATTATACACTGATTACCGTACGGTGTAAAAATTATGATTCCTGAAAATATTCACGATAGAAAAAAAAGAAAGCTTACCTAGAAATTTTACAAGAACACCTGTGTATTCAATAGGTACTTTACGTATACCAATGATTTTTTTTATGTCATCTGAACTAAATAGAACACTTATAGTATGATAGATAGATAGATAGATACAATACGTTTATTGACTTACCACAAGCACACACAATAATATGAAACAACAAATAGCTAAAGAAAGAAAGAAGACAAAAAAAAACTCAAAACAAAACATACAAAATAACAAAAAGGAATGAAATCAAATAAATATACACAATAAACGACATATATCTACAATTAATTAAAAAGCAAGTTGTGAGTGCTGCAGCAAGCCAAACAGGCCATAGCTCAGTGCAGGTGTTGCCCAAAAGCAACGCACTGATTTTCAGCTATCGCCTAGTGGGTAACGCGAAGTGGTGCATCACAGCAAAAAGCAATGTGTAAGTAATGTGTAGGACGTGCAGTGAGTCTTAGTGTAGTTGTGTGTCAGTGTTAACGTGTCGATGGGAGCGTCCGTGGAAGCGTACAGGTGTGGCAAGCATGAAATTTCAAAAACCAACTAGAAAAAAAAGATATAACAAAGAAAACGGACAAAAAAAAGATATAACAAAGAAATAGGACAAAAAATTAATTATTATAAAGTTTACAAATTGGTGTTTTTTGGAAGCCCTCGCTATACATAGTATATATAGTAAGTAGTATATGATATACATTTTGCAAATAGCTTTATTTCCGTTTGTAAAAAAATAAAAAATAAAGGCAGTGTCCCTGCCGGTCGACCCGAGCAAAATGAACCGTATTAGTACGGGAAAAATTTTAATTAGAGCTGCTATAGTATCAACTTTATGGTCATTTGTTTCCACTTATTACAACTTGTATTCAAAATGTGTAAAATTATATTGAGTTTTCTATTGGTTAAAATAATTGCGATATAACATCGGTAGATATGACATAAGTCGGCTTAACGCGCTAAATATATTAAAGTTTTTTAAAACATCTTCTTGATGAATTTGGTGTTTTTGAGATAGGCCGCTATAGTTATATTCTTCTCCGGATGTAATTTTGCGTACCGATCCTGTAGGTCCTGCCAGATTCGTACCCGTTCAGTAAGGTTTAATCCCCAAATCTAAACCCACGGTACTGTCTATCATACAACAGATCTCCTTGTGAAAGAGTTCGTCCAAGTACTGCCTTACCCATTTCTGCCACCAAGCAGTATTGTGAGCATTACTGCGTTCCGATTTGAAAGCGTAAGTGTGCTTGTGAAATTACAGATATATGGGACTTGTCGACTTACGTTCCGGGGTGACGGGCGCAATGGCAGTGCCCTTACGATACTTACGATTTAAAGCTCTGAGTGGCACTACAACTGGTATTATCAAACAAAATCAAAGCTCAGAAGAAAAGGTTAACTGTATCTCAAATTGTATCAAGGACTTTTCATTTGTCGCCTGGATTGCTGAAACACAGTGGTTGATTGTATGCATTTTTGGAATTATACCAAAAAATCATGTAGGTCATTTAAAATGTTTCAAAGAAAATTTCTGTACGCTGAAATATTTTAATTTTCATTAATTTGTGTTGGAAGCTTAGTTAAGTAAAAGAGCAACTCTCACATTTGCGGTGTGAGTTTTACTAGCTATTCTCTAATTTATTGTCTATAAAAAATAATTGACTTCGCGATGCGTAAAATTTTACGACTCAAGCGTATTACAAGCTCTGATGGAATTGGCGTTAATTTTTTAACATTAGCAGGTTTATTATGATAGAGGATACGCCACTGTCAAATTCTCTTCCGACAAGCACGTCTTGGCGCAAACAAAGCAATGTTGAAAAAGTGAAGACGCCAAATTACACTAAACTCAATAAAAATGTGCAAAATAAACTCAGTACAGAGTAATAAAAAACCGACCTCAAAAGTTCGTTCATATATTTGCCAGGTTTTATTGAAATCGTTTCATTCAAATCATTTCTCATTTCATTTTTTATTGAAATCGGTTATCCGATAGTGCGTGAACCGGATTCATCCCCTAGTTTGCCACTCTTAGAGATGGAATATTTTCTAAAAAATTAAAAGGAACCAACACTGAGGTGTCGTCTTTCCAACAAAAAAAGAATCATCAAAATCGTTCACAAATACCGGAGTTGTCGCGTAACATACATACAAAAAAAATAGTCCAATTGAGAACTCTGTGCTTGTGTTAATTTTTTTTTCATGCAGTTACTTTTAAATCAAATTAATAAAATAAATTATGCGCAGCTACAGTCACAACTCTTGAGGATGGCTGGTAGAGAAGCAGAACACGTGTCCGGTATACTTTTGGTGGTATTTGCGGTCGTAGTTGCGCTTGTTCCATTTTCAATATCAACTATTCACCGTTGGTATGTAGGAAAATAAAATCAAAACAATACACTAATAAAAACGTCACCAAAAATAAAAATTTAACGCTCTCAAGTTACCACTAACACGGAAAAATATATAAAAAAATAAAAATAAATAACTTAATAAAAAAGAAAATGTCATTAAAGAACAAAAATTAAATAAATCACGGACTATATCATATATCATACTAACCTAACCTAATATTCCATCACCACGTAAGCATAAATTTTCAAACATTACATTTTTTACATTTTCGCATCTCTACTCGGTTCGCAAAAGAACAAAGCAATTTACATCCATTTTCATTAAATGGATTTTGGCAAAGTAACGCCGGAATTTATAAATTGCTGTAAAATCCGTCATATCAACGACACATGCATTTCCATCTTCTATTACTATGGTAAACTAAGGACACCTACTGGAAGTAACTCTATCACCAACATGGTATGAATATAGGGATACGGCAAATGGTGCAAAATTAAAAAACCTGGCAAGATACTTATAGGTGACTCGAAATTAGTAGAGGTGAAACTGCAGAGCCTTGAACACCGTCGTAAAATTGCCTGCTTATAGGTATTCCACAGGATATATCACGGAGAGTATAAGAGGGACTTGCGCAATTTAATTTCGCCTTCCCTTTTCCATCTTCGGATGACTAAACGTAGGGTGGGTGTCCACCCCTATGTAGTAGCTAGTGTGGAGAGGAATTCCCTGCCCGCAGACTTGTAACCTGAACGTTATAACTTGGAACTTTTCAAAGTGAGAGTAAATTAGTAGTGCATGCTCCATCGCCGACCTCATCGTCACTTTCCATCATCTGTAATGGAAGTCATATGCGCACTTATTATTTTTAATATAATAAAAAACCTAAATGCTATCAAACTAAATGGAAATGGCGAAAATAAACCTGTCACAGTTGTTGAATTTTTTTAATCGTACACACTGCACAGCTGAGTCACTGCAATTTGGCATCTAGACTCAAAAAATTACGACAATGTCTACATGGTTCAATGTTTTATTTTTCATTCCTAACAATGTTTTTGGCTGTCTGTCTAACATTAAGCGACGCAAATTTTACACAATCAGTTTTTTCTCATTCAAAAAACAGGTTAAAAAACCGAGTCGCCAAATGGTTTTCACCGTGTTCCGACTCGTGTTCGGGAGTTGCCAATAGGAGGTCGTGTCTGAACAGTTGCATTGCGTCTAACGACGAATTGTAACTGCTTGTACTGTCACATTGAGCACTCGGTTCTGGAGGCTAGCGGGATCCGAAGCACGGTGCACCGCTGGCCGACGGTGGGAAGTTGGGAGCCCAAGTAGCGGGAAAGTCACCCGTGAAAGGCTGCCCCGCCACCCAACGAAAAATCCCGGAATGCTCCACCTTGCCGGTTGGCGACCGGAGGGGAGGACCAGGTGGCCATCTCCGGGGGGGTTCGGGCGTCCCCGCGGTCTC